GCAACTTTGACTAATTGAAATCAATCTATCAATCTGTCTACTCTTTTGTATCCCCGACTTATCAAGCAAAATCATATAAATCTAATCGTTTAGGTAACAAATGTTATAAATCTCCACAAGTTTTGTTTGATTATAGATTCATTTAACATCAAATCTGTTCTATGATCCAGCATTGTCTCGTTTACATTTTCTCTGCTCTGTAAATCTGGTTGGTATTTGGTTTATTCATGTTTTGATTAGAGTATGCTTATGATTTCTTCTTCCTTAATTTGCAGGCTTCATACTTCTCTTAGTACTCTAATTCTACCGAGAGAGTCAAATACTATACCGTTTGAATAATTAGTTACATACACATTCATTGAAGAAGAAGAAGATGCTAAGTGGAAACAATGGAAACTCTCTGCAACCGGTTTTCATGAACGAGAACCAGTTGCAGTACCAGACAAATACACAATCGAATCAGCTTCACTTGCTCGGAACCAGTAAGTTTCTGGTTTATTGTAATGGCTTAATCTCAAGCGATAAACATCGTTCACTCGAGAAACTTAGAATCCCGTCTTTTGTTTGTTTTGCAGTGGGAGGTGGGTGCACTGTTGATCCAGTAAACTACTTTGCTAACGATAACCTCGTTCCAATGATTCGGCCTAACAAAAGAGGAAGGGAAGAAGTCGAAAGCATTAGTAATATCCAAAGACAGCAGAAGCTTCAGATCTCTTTGAGCTATAATCATAACAACATTGGTGTTCGAGAAGTCCCTAAGGAGAATCTAGTCTCTACTGGTCTTAGACTATCTTATGATGACGATGAACGCAACTCTTCAGTGACTTGTGCTAGTGGTAGCTTTGCAGCTGCTTCTCCAATGTTTCAGTCACTCGATGATAGTCTTCGGATTGACCTCGATAGACAAAAAGACGAGCTTGACCAGTTCATCAAGATCCAGGTACTGAATTGTCTCTGCGCGTGTTCTGTTMTGCGCTTTAAGGTTCTTCTTTGTAATAATGTTTTTGTGTGGTTCAGGCAGCTCAAATGGCGAAAGGCGTGAGAGATATAAAACAGAGACAGATTGCGTCTTTTCTCAACACAATAGAGAAAGGAGTGAGCAAGAAGCTTCAAGAGAAGGATATCSAGATCGATAACATGAACAGAAAGAATAAGGAGCTCGTGGAGCGGATAAAGCAAGTGGCAACTGAAGCTCAGAATTGGCATTACAGAGCAAAGTACAATGAGTCTGTGGTTAATGTCTTAAAGACAAATCTCCAACAAGCAATGTCACACAAGAACAACAATATGATTGRTGCTGCAGATCAAGGCAAAGAAGGGTTTGGAGATAGTGAGATAGATGATGCAGCTTCGTCGTACATTGATCCAAACAAGAACAAGATGGGAATCCATAGGATGAGATGCAAAATGTGCAACGCGAAGGAAGTATCGGTGTTGCTTGTGCCGTGTAGGCACTTGAGCTTGTGTAAAGAATGTGATGTATTCACTGGGATCTGTCCTGTATGCAAGTCTTTGAAAACTTCTAGCGTTCAGGTCTTCTTTTCCTGAATTTTGTGACAAAAACAAAAATTGGAACAAAATAAAAGAAAAAGGAGAATCCATTACATTTTGTTTTTGTTCAACTTTTACAATTTATTTCAAAAAAATATGTATATGAGTATTCTGCATATGTTCATTTTGCGTTTGTTTGTCTCATCCAATTGATGCATTCCTTTGCAGAGCCTTTGGGATAAACTAGCTGCCATGTTAGTAATTTCCGTTGCTGCAAAACAGAGCAACCAAAACAGAGATTAATCCCTTTCGGAACATTGCGGAATCGCGGAAAAAAAAAGACATAACTAGTATTATCCGGAATGGAATCATTCCACCATTCCGCGTGTTACCAATCAAACTTCACAGTTTGAAGCCTTTACACATTCACGGATAATGGGTCCTCTGTCCTTTCTTTTCGATTACCGGTCCTCCTCTGTTTTGAACATGATTTCATCTCCATTCATAAGAGGCTTTACATCCCAAATGGTATCATCAAGACCTTTGATGTTAAACAGGAAACATAGTTAAGTAAGTAATCACAGTCTAATTTCGTCTGCCTAGTCTTAGAATGATCTTTATCTCCGATACTACCACTTATTTAAATGTACTTACCGAGTTCACGAAACAATATAGACTTCTCGTTTCTTATCAAGTTGAGAGTCAAAGATTCATGCCGTCTTCATCATCATTATAGAGCAGTAATGATGTTAAGAGGGCAACACGCCATAAATCTTTGATATCTCTAAGAAGAAACCCTGTAGAGTATGACCGAAACAAAACCGTTATAGAGTTATATACATATGGTCTGATATAGTGTGGTTACTAAACTACAATGCCTAAAAATTTGTAGTTTATGGTGGGTCTTAGTACAATAATATATACTAGCTATTGAGGATATACCTGTGACTAGTCTTATTTTCGATGTAGCGAGGACCTCTGGATCATTTAAAGAGATGGATTCCCATTGCTCAAGAACTCATTCAAGTTTGTCATGTTGTACTCGATTATTCAACTGAAGAGGAAGAATCAACGAAACGAATCTCTCCGCGGCACAGTGTATATTGATAACCTGGAGCAGATATAGATTTTGTTACCATGATAGTAAGGCAATTGGAGGGTTTAACACATTTGAACATTGATAAACAGAGCTCACTGTTTCCGCGTCTCTACTCCTCTGCTTCATGGAGACTTTAAAGATGTAATTTACAACAGGAATCTGGAAAAATAAAAAGGTTCATGTTTTGTTTGCTTAGAGAGCTAAACTCACATTCTAGCTAATCAAAAAGGAAATACAGAGAGTACCGATTTTTCATTTTTGTCCTTGTAAACGGTATTCCTAAACGGAAGAAACAGAGCTGAATACAGAGCAAGCCTTCTTTGTTCACCACTCAAGTTTCCTATCCCAAGTGTTTGAATGAGCTTCCACATAGCTTTAAAGTGGCTAAAAGAGCAATAAGTGTGATGGAAAGTAAGACTAGAGCAGTGTCAAAGAAGCAAGATTTTGTTAAAAGTCTTGAATGTAAAAGAGTAGAGAAAAAGAGATAAAACCTAACAGACTTGTCAGATGGTGGTGGTGCAGGCTCAGATGAACAAGGAAGAGAAAAGACGACTCCAAAGAATGAGAGTTACTACTCCTTACTTCGATCCGGTCTCTGCAGATTTTTCCTTTCAAGAGCTAACCTGACTTCTTCACTTGAAGCAACTTCTTTTACTTCTTCATCCAGAGTAAAGCCAAACCTTGCACCGAAGCGAATAGCCCGATGAAACTCGCAAGGGATCGTCAAGAAAAGTGGTTTTTAATTTGCAGGTAATTGAGTTACAATTCTTCCGGATTTGAGGTCATCAATGCCTGTGATTGTATAATTCCTCGTAAACTAGCTACTTAACTTGAACATCGCCATGAAAACAAATGCGGAAAACCACTAACCTCTTCCTGTAAGATCTTCTAATAAACCAGTGTGAATGTTGTAGAACAAGCTATCAAAATATATATAAGAATACATCGGAAAAAAAGATGTCACAAATTTGCAATTTCTTTCTATTGACAAAGATGAGAGTAAGTACCTATTTATAGTTAAGTCTCTCCTATAAGCATCCTCTTCACGGGTGCAAAATTCCTATACAAAAACAAAAGCAAATTATATATATCTTCAAATCACAAATGAGAATGAACAAGGAACCAGTACCACTTTTCGAGGCATACGACTATTTACATCGTAATCTTCTTCACTTCTCAAATGTACAAAATCTATCCACTGGTTATAAAGACGCATTTTTTTCCAGTCTCCAATTTTTTTTTGTATTTCTCAGGATTACTGAAGAAGAAAAGAAAAAAGACATTTAGCTTTGTGACTAAACAACGAGTTGCTTTGTGACCAAGCTGTCCACAGTTACGACATTTAGAAGGCAACCAAGAGTAAACAACATCAACCATTGTTAATTCATCCTCTAAAGCAACTTTATGAGGGAATGGTCCGTCAAGCTTTACCTCCACTAATATCTTTGCTTTCACCCATTTGTGTAGGATCAAGCCAAGGCCTGCTAGTTAGCATCGGCTCACCTATACCTGAGGCAATCCACTTGATACCTTTGAAAGAGTATAATTGACTAGGAATATTCTTGAGCGTCAACCAAACTGGTATAGTTGTAATCTCAGGAAGAGCAATGTTTGCTGCAGGGGACTAAGCTGAAACAAACATTAAGAAATCATCGACATGCCACAATCCTCTCTCGATAATCCACTTACGGGATGGTTCATCAGGGATGTGGAAGAGATAAGAGGACTCTCCTACTTTACGAGTAAATATCTTGCACCTTCTACCCCAGATCCTAGTTACTACTGCGTGAATTAGACCTCCTGATGGAGCAGAGCATCAATGAAACTGGCCTACCACAAATTCCTTCTGATTTTCCAAACCTTCTAGAAGAACATGGCTTGGAATTTTTACCTCGGGGGTTCCATCCTCCATGAATTCCGGAGTTGTGACTCTATGGAGATTGCGCAGAGATGGATCCATCTTTGAAGCCCACGGGTATTGTTTGGAATACGCTACCAAGGCCGGGTCTTTATGTTTGAAACTTTCGAATGCAAACCTGGAGAACGACGTTGTTGAATTCTCCCAGTAGATAGCTCCGGCCAGTTTGAGGTTGAGACGGCAGTACTCCGATGAGCAACTGTGTCTGGTAGGGGTTTTGCCCAAGCTCCTTGTGGAGGTGAGAGACGAGAAGGTTCTCCATCAAGGTGCAAAGAAGAATCCTTCACTTGTTGTGTCACTGATTCTTCGATTACATCGGCCAATTGCAACACAACAGGTAGAAAGGTAGTCTGGTGTGTATCTAAATTTTGTTGCACAGAGGAGGGAGAGGAAGTCGGATGTTCAAAGATCACCTCCATTCTCCTGCTCGGAGATGGCATTAAGGAATCAATGGCAGCGAGTGGGATTTGGATTTGTCCTGTATCTGAAATTGGTGGAGAAGCCATGGTTCAGGAGAGAAAAACAGAGGCGAGGAGGTGAAGAATCGAGCAGAGATCCACCAGCGGAGCAGCGACGACGATTCACGCGGAGACGGAGCCGTCGAGGTGACGAAGGAAAGGTTTAGGGTTTTGTTTCGCCTGTGTAGGCCAAATTCTCAAGACCGTTAGCGAGGAACAATTCTTGGGGGGGGGAGGGGGGGTGTGAACAGTTGTTACTCGCTCTTCTCCGACATATATTAAATCACAAAAATAATTATAGAAACCACTAATTCTCTTTTTTAATTATGACATATAGAC